ATGGAGCCCATATACTAAACCGGTCGACACGTATTTTGGTGACCTGATAATGCCGTCATCGGTTCGAACTTGAGTTATATGTTAAATTGTGTAAAATATAAACATTTTGCAAATAATGAAATTCGAACTTGAGTCCCTTTGTCTGGGTATTGAAAGACTTACCATTGGACCACTTTTATTTGTTTGAGATAATGTTCATAATTTAATATTTATTATATATTATTTTGAAATTCGGTTGAACCAGTAGCGGATCCAAAAAATTTTATTTATGTGTGCATATTTAGTCCAAATATTTAGTGGAGGGAGTTTGGGGGCAGTCCCTCAAAAAAAAAATATTATACAAAATTTTAAAAGAATTAAAAAATAAAAGAATATAAACAAAAAGAGATTTATATCCCTCACGTTACATGAACCAAATTTTTTGTCATGTTAAGAAAAAGACAAGACCAATTAATTGAATAATGTGTCATCTCATTTTCTTTAATATTATATAACTTGTCTTTTTCTTAATATAACAAAAAAATTTGTTTATATAATATAAGGGATATAATCCTAAAAAATAAAATAAAATTCGACTTAACATAAAAAAATAATAATCAACTTAATGATATAAAATCACTAAAACATAAGCAGTAAATAAGATGTGTTTCTTTTTTAGTACCTGTGCTTGTATTTCTAGCAATGCAGTCACTAAAATTGCTCCTTGAGTGACATTACTAATTAATTAAAATATGAGAAAAGTGTGTATCATTTTAAAGGATATAAAGTTGTGTCATTTTAAGTGAGAGAAAAAGATAAATCATGGAAGAAAAAATGAGTGAAAAAAGTTTTAAAAATGTGGATCTCATCTTTTTATTAGAGTGAAAAGATATGAGGTGTGTCATTTAAAATGACACACATTTTTCTCTTAAAATATATATCTCTTCTTTATTAAAAAATTATTTCACCAAATTTATGTGTGCACTTGTACACGTTTGCAACCAAATACGTCCACCAATGGGTTGAACCACCGCTAAAAATAACACCCTTCTGCATCCCTAAACCTACTTTTTTTTCCCAAACAATTATGAAATAAATTTGATCACAATATAATTTTATAATATTTATTTTGGTAATGAATTTTATAATACTTTAACTAAAGCATAAAGGTGGAGTGCTTAAAATATATCAACTGTTAAAATATGTTAACAAAGTGAACATATTTTTGGAAATCGGCTTCCATCAATTTTTATATATATTCCTAAAAAATATGGAATTTAAAGTAGAAAGTACTTAACGTGATAAATAACGTTAAAAATTACAATATTACTATAAAAAACGCCTCAACTGGTGGAATTCTCTGGATTTTTATTTAAATATTATAATTTCCAACTTTGATTCCCATGTATAGTTCCTAGCAGTGTTATTAAACCCGATCCGGATATCAACTCGTTCGGGATACTGAGTCACTGGGTTACTGGTCGAACCGGTGGGTCATTGGTCGGACCGGTTGACCTGGATATATATAAATATATAAATATGAACATATAAATTCAATTATATTCTCCATATCTAAAATGAATTAAACAAGATTCACTAAATATGCTAAAAAACATGAAGCATAAATAAATAATAATGCACGTTATTACTATGTCAATTTAAATTGCAACTCATAAACTCCATAAACATACTTCTCAATAAACATTGAACTCATATTTTTCAATTCAACTACATTAAAATGACATACGTCACATTCTCTTAATTTATTATTCAGCAAATTACTTCAGTATTGGAAGCTGAAATTTGAGGTCATTGTAGAAGAGTATATTAGCAAATAAAATTACAAAAAAAAATTAAAATGAGTTCTACATTTTTTTCTGACAAGATGAAACAATTTTAGTTTTTTGTTTTTGTTTTAAATGCATGACCCGACCGGATCATCGGTTTTGACCAGGTTTGGGCGATTTTGTCCGAATTTTGACCGGATCAATGCATGACCGGTCCAATGCTTGATCCGAACCGGTCTGATGACCTGTTCATCGAGTCTCAGGTCGACCCGACTGGGTCGGGCCGGATTTTACAACACTGGTTCCTAGATTAATTCCTGAGATATGTTTTTTTTTTCTATGTTGAAAAATTGGTTTGACGCAAATTGACTTTTGAACATGATTTTTTTTTTTTGGTTTTTCAAAAGTCAACTTTTCAACCATTATGTGTATTTTATTTTATTTTTAAAAAAAAAAGCTGTTAAAAAATTGATTTGCCAAAAATCGACTTCTTCTTAGTTTATTTGAAAAATTTTAAATTTACAAAAAGCTATCTCAACAAGTTTTGAAAATAAAAATAATTATGAAAAATCAGTTTTTAGGAAGCTAACTTCTTAATGTTATGCCAAAAATAAAATAACATTATAATGAAAGGTTGGTCTCAATGTCAAACAAAAAAAGCGTATTTCGAAAATTAATGTTGTAACTACAGTAAACAAAGAATTAAATGTTAAAATTATATTATTTAAATACAAAAGCTGAACTTTCTTTCCCTATTTCATTTTATTTTTAAATATCAACTCTGTATCATTTAAGAGGAATTCGAAGTTGATCGTAAATATCGCCTTAACAGAGGGGGGGGGGGGGGGGGGGGGGGGGGGGGGGTTGGGGGTAGATTTTGAGGAGAAAGAGATGGGCTTAGCTGATTAAGAGCCTTTTTCAAAGTATATTAACATCCATGACATGTAATATCATATTAGTTATACAACATTTGTTTGCCATTTGATATATTCTGGACCTGTGTAAATTCATATTACATATACAAGTCCACTTAATTGAGTTATTCTTTTACTTGGGTTTTGATTGGGTAATGGTGTAGGCCCAACTATGATTTGGGGAAATATAATTGATTAGGTTCTTTCAGCACACACAAATAGTTACTCCATAGTTTGAGTTGCGAACAGGGATTGTGGACAACATCAAAAGCCATAATCTTTCAAACTTAGTAGGATTTTTTATTTTTTTTTTGGTACATAACTTAGTAGGATTTTAACACGGGAAGGTTATATTTAAAAAAAATTTGTTTATAAACTACACTAAGTATGACCGGTCATACTTCAATCAAAATTGTATGACCGGTCATACTTAGTGTAATTTGTAAAAAAAAGTTGTAAACATATCATTTCCCTTTTAACATCAAGTGCAACAAATCCTTAAGATCCCAATATTTTCAACAAGTAAACCTAAAACTGGTTTAGTATCTTTTAAAGTCTTTCACTCGACATTACAAGTTCAGAGCTTTGTGGCTGAAGACACTAAGAGTTAAAAGGAGAGCAAAAAGAGTTCTGAAAGGCTTATTTATACTTAAATTAAATAAATTGTAATATATATATATATATATATATATTAATTTTTCCATTAAAGAAAAGAGTGTATATTTGAAATTTTAACATATTTAATTAAAGTGGCTGTGAAATTCATCAATATATAAACATTCTTTACGTTCCATCATTTTAAGTCTCAACGATTTTTTTAATGATCAATATGTACGAGTACATTGATCCTAGAGCCTATTTGGTGTGCCTCTTAATCACGAACCACGATTTAGAAACATCTTAGCATCTAACGTATAAACTAATTAAGTGTTTGCTTGTCACATGAACGTAATCAGCACGCCTTCAAGCAAATCCCCTCAGGTCCTTAATTAAATGGAAGGTCATTCCAATGATCATACTTTAGAATATGTAGTTATGTACAATGCCATAGAATACTTAAGTAGCTTTACATGCTCTTTTCAAAGTGACGAATAGTTAATCTTCACCCTTATTATTTAACAAGTATGCTAATCAAATGTTTCATTATTCTAATGAAAAATGCTTAACCACAATGATACCTGTTAGCTGCCTTTCATTCATGTCAATCATACGTGTCTAGTTTCTTTCCATCAACACTGACCCACAAGCATGCTAGGTTATAATGCCTCCCTACTTTTTCTTGCTTGTTTTTCTTTTGGGTGCTTATGTGGTGGCCCTGAGGAAAGCCCTGATCCTCTGGCAACTAGCCTTTCATTATTTTTATCATCTGAAAATGCATCATGCTTAGCCTTAAGTTTATGGCTTACGTTTAAAGATGCCCAAAAGAAGGGTCCTCTTAGAGTCTTTATATATACTATTCCACAATGTTCTATTATGACTAGCATGTGTTATTTCTCATTCTAATCTTGAGGGCTTGTTTTCTACAATCAGAATCTATTTACAAATCAATTCTTTCATGACCAAGTGGGTCCCTTAGTTTTCAGATATCAGTAACTTCACAAATAGACATGTACAATTATCTAAAGAGTAACGGCACTTTCTATCTGTTATATAGTAATATCTCATCTGGTCAATATTCCTCTTCACCACATAGCTTTCAGTATAATGACTTATTGGACTGTTGCAAATTGTACTCTAAAATATCTGTATGTAATCACTTGCCTTGCTTCTAATTTAGAATTTCATATAGTGGGTCAATATGACCAATGACAATGAAGGACATGAAGCCACTTTCTTTCTGTCCTCTTTTGATATGTCCTCTTTGCAAATTTAGTTATACACTCTATCATAAATTTTTTAAAATTTCAATGTAAGCTATGACGTTTCATTTCATGTTGGTTAGAAATGAATTCAGTAAGATATAACTAAAGGATAATACTTTTCTTATGTTACATAAAAAAAGTAATATCTCATGCACTCACATTTTTCAAATGGGTTTCACAATAAATTTTTTATCTTACCTTCAAACTCTTTTTTCTCTCTTATTTATTGTTTGGGTAGGAGATAATATTTTTCTTATGTAACAAAAGAAAAGTATTACCCATAACTAAAAAACTCAATACTTATTTTAAGTTTTGAGTTTAAGATATAAAGTGCTAAACCCTACTGTCATTTCCTGTTTAATTGGATATTGAGCATATTGCATGTTTAAAACCTTCATATATATATATATATATATATAGTTAGAGGAATAGTGGGGTTTGCAAATTATTATAGTGATATCAAGATGATTTAGCATGTATAAATATGCATGCATGCTTGCTTACATATATTCATATTTGAGATTGCACAGCTGAATTTTCATCCTGTTCAATTCATTTCCAAGATAATTTGTGTTCTGAAGATCACATTAACATGGCTTCCGATTTCAATCTATCCCCTTCTGATGCACATCCCGAGACAATGGATTTCCTTTCACTTGCATGGTGTAACTTTGCTGTACAAGCTCTGCAGCCTGAGCCACAACATGGATCAGTTGTTCTTGTTGAGAACCCTATGAAGCAATTGGAGCCTGGTAGCCCCAAGGCTCATCCTACGGTGAGTCAAGCTGCTTAAACTGTTCCAATATTATTCTAAACTCTATTTCTTCAACTAATCATTCGTGCTCAATATTTGTGAAACTTGCATAAGATGGAAAAGAGTGCTAGAATGGATGATGCAGATTTCAGGTCTCTGCCAGCATGGAAATCTAACGATGTGAAGGTAAGAAAGTACAAACACGACATAACCATCTGATTCCATATTGAGAAACAGCCTTTCATGACTATTTTTTTTTTTTTTTTTTCAGTCGTGGATATGGATGCAGCAAGCCATGCATCCTGAATTGAATTACAACAGTTGTTTCCGAAAGAAATGGGTATGTAATCTTTTCACTAAATTTAAAGGTGACAACTACATGCATGCTAGTTAGTTCACTTAGCATTAGTTGGTTTGTTATGGTTACCATGCAGATGCCATGGAAGCAGATCATACCACTGAAAAGCGTCTCAATAAAGAAATGGTTTAAGGAAATAAAGTTGAGGAAGAAAGAAGAGCAGAGATTGCAAAGAGCAGATGTGCATGCAGCAATATCCGTTGCAGGGGTTGCAGCTGCTCTTGCTGCCATTGCTGCAGAAAATTCAAAAAAGGGGTCCAATGAAGAAAGAGATGCAGCAGTAGCCTCTGCTACTGCCTTGGTAGCTGCTCAGTGTGCAAAAGTAGCTGAAGCAATGGGTGCAAAGAAAGAGCAACTTGGAAGTGTAATTGGCTCAGCAATAAGTGGCACAAGTGCAACTGACATCCTAACTCTCACTGCCGCAGCATCAACATGTAATTTGCTTATTTTTCACTGTTACTTTTTTTTTTTTTTTTTTTTTTGGGAGGTGGGAAGTTTACAATTGCAAGATTTGGCAACAGATTTGGGGCAATAAGTGTTAAAATTCCTGGCCCAATTGAAACCAGATGGCTCTTGTCTGGACATGTCCCTCCCTCACTAGAAAAGACACTTTTTAGGTCTATTTCCTTTTTTCATATTTTGTATATATGAAGAAATTTGTTAGATAAAGTACTACTTAAACCCAACAAAAGAAATAGATAATAGAGGAAACGGATGGAAACATTACTTCCCTTTTCTTATTCCGTTTGGTGTGCATGGTCTACAATTTTATCATGTACCATCCATTGCTGACTAAAAACTGTTGTCTAATTTCAGCATTAAAAGGAGCAGCTACACTTAAAGTAAGATCGGGATGCAAGAACAGATTGAATGGGGGAGCCCTCGTCTTGCCCATTGAAGACAACAATGATTTAGATTTTGACTTTGAAAAAGGCAGATCCATTCTTGCACAAGGTGCTGAGTTATATGTGGAAACACCAGAAGGTACATTAATGCAATAAAAAAGCCCTGCTTTGCAGTGGCATAATTCTTCTAAATATTTAAACTACCACACCACCATCCAATTATAACCATATAGCATAAAGAAGGATAACTACTAAGTATTAAGAATTATATGCTTTTCTAATTTATGCTTACTTCAATTATGTCTAAACAGGGAAGTACATGCCGAGATCAGTGTCTGTCATCCTAACCAGTGAGGCCAAGGTCAGGGTTATGGGAAGTTTTTATGTCTATCTATTTCTTCTAAATTGGATCATGAGCCGAAAACATATCAAGAAAAATTATAAAAGCTACTTGCCATGGACTGACTCAATTAATTATAATACGCTTGATAACAAAATAAAGTTTTCAATTATTGAAACTTGGATACTTGAAATCCTTACCTTTTGAATTATAAATCTAGCAGTTGAGCTTAAGATTAACTTAGATATTTGGATTAAATCTAGCTTTACTGGTGTAGCCTGTGTTTTTATTTATCTATCTGACTCATGATGTCTAAAACTACAGGTTGTACTCATGATGAGGAAGCATAATCTATTTAAAAGCAAGAAGGAGAGTATGTGCCTTTTTTGTTTTTCCCGTTATGTTCTTTTCTTTTTATAATCCTTGTTCTTTATTAAAACGTAAAGGGAACAATGACTTACGGCACTGGCTATAGGTATAATACTGAATCTGCATGCGGAGCTGTATAAAGGTTCAGAAGCTGAGGATGCTGATACTTGTTATCTGATTGTTTTAACAACAAGAGGAGGCAATTTCAAGCTAGACATGGCCGATGATTTCCGTCGATACAAGACATGGGCCACAACCATCAATCACATGCTGAGGATTTCCACTTCTTTTGCAAAATATGAACTACAATTTTACTGAAATTTATGTTAAAAGCTTTTACCTTTCTGTATCCATTTGCATCTTCGTACCTTAATATATTTGTAACAATTACATAATATCGTCCCTGCTATTAAATTCAAAACTATATGTAATCTATCTTCCAGCGAAATAAAATAATTCGTGTATATGCCATGTTACTAGGCTAGTAGTAGGCCACACTTCATCAAATTAAGACCCTAACGAACTGCTAATGGAAAAAATATTTTTAGACTTCAAATAATTTGTTTTATAATTTTGATTATAATATTAAGCAACAATCTGTAAAACAATCATATTCTCCTGGCCCCTTTTCCAGGAATAGGACCAACCAGGCAACTAGTGTTTCTTTGATGGTTGAGTCTTTCTTTTACCTCAATACATGTTGTTAGCTCAAGCTCTGTAATTTTGGGACATAAGTCAATTAAGATAAGCTTTCTTTTCATTTTGTTTGGTGGACAAAAAGGTAAGCTTCACCAACTTTGTCTTCCACGATGCAACTGAAAAAACCGGACCCAGACCTTTTGTTGGGTATATTTTGAAGGGAGATTCTTATTCTTATAATAAAACTCACTCCTTTTTTTTCTTGCATGATTCTACAAATACAAGTATATTAATAAATATACATTTTTTATAATATTTACAATAAATTAACTCTAAAATATTTAATACAACTTTGAGTTAAATAAATGTATGTATAAATATTTGATTCATGATCATTGAGAGATATAATTATTTTTTCAAAAGTTCCTTAAAAATTCTTTTGATCAAAATGTGTTTGTCCTCAGAATATTTTAATCTAAATATGAACTTATAACTTATAATTACATGACTAATAATGGTATTCATTATTCATATTTTCCTTATTTATATAGTTGTTGTATATCAGTCTTTAGCATAAAATTAAAATAACGCGACACTTAAATAATTTGAATCAGAAGTATTTAATTCAGGAGAAATACCTTAACGGGCCTCATGGAGCCGGCCCATAAGTGGAAGATATATGCAAAGTGGATTTGGGCCGGGTCAGATCCAGAATGATATGGTTACCAGTTATGGCGCTTCCCCTTTCTCCTTGTCTGGTTTCGTAGCGTAGAAGAAGAGCACAGAAATTACTGTAGTCTCTGCTCTCTTCTAACAAAGAAAGAAACAAATATCACAATCACAAACAGTATGAGAAGAAGACACAACAATGATAATGATGCAGATAAATACAGAGTCCAAACTTCAAATTTTCCCAAATCAGATTCAGAGCACTTGTCATTCTGGTCTTCACAGAAACGAGTCTTCGGTTTCTGTTTGGCATTCCGAATTCTGAATTCTCTTTTAGTGCAGAGTTACTTCAACCCAGACGAACACTGGCAGGGACCTGAGGTTGCGCATCGCATCGCATTTGGGTACCATTTTTCTGTTTCTCTTTAATTTTCAGCTAAATCTATTATTATTATTATTATTTATATTCTTTCTTCACCAATTCCACGTAAGTGCTGATGTGGCAGGTATGGTCATTTAACGTGGGAGTGGAAACAGGGTATCCGCAGCTACTTGCATCCCATGCTATTTGTTGTGCTTTATAGGGTTCTCGCTATACTTAATCTTGATACACCTTGGCTTATGGTAATTATTTGTTGCAAAATTAACTTACTGTAACATCTAATTAAAGAATTAAATGTATTTTGCTTCATTTTTTCATGACATGATATGTTAGTTTTCATTTTAATAACAGTCTAGTTTATGAAACTAAAGTGTCTTTGTTTGTTGTTATGTTTCATAGATATGGTTCTTCTAATTTATTTTCTGCTGCATTTTTCTTAGATGAGAGCTCCACGGCTACTGCAATCTGTGTTCTCTGCAGTTGGTGATTTGTACTTGTACAAACTTTCTGCTGTTCTCTTTGGTGACCGTGTTGCAAAATGGGCAGTATCCTATTATTTTATTTACTTCTTGGTTAGAATGAGTCTAGTTTCATGTTAGAAGTTCTTGCTGCATTACTGTATAGAAATTAGAAACACTTTGAAGATACCTTCTTTCCACGTCATGTATGAAAACTTAACTCAGTCTCAGCTCTTTTCGCAGTTGGCCAATTGGTTTATGTTTTATTGTTTTTCTCGTACACTATCAAATAGCTTGGAGACTGTTCTTACACTAGTGTCTCTATACTTTTGGCCATGCATGAGGTCTTCCAACAAATGTTCCTTTGTTTCAAGGAAGTGCGGTTTAGTGGTGGCAGCGTTGGCTTGTGCTATTCGGCCAACAAGTGCAATCACATGGCTGTATGTTGGCCTTCTTGAGCTTTTAAAGGCACATGACAGATTGAAATTCATTTTTTTGGAGGTGGCTCCTATTGGGTATGTTTTGTGACCTTTTGCTCACTCTAGATTGGCCTGTGTATATGTGCTTAGAAAGCTTCATGACATTTGGGGAAAGGCAATCTATGGATGCCTAAGATTTCTGTGTTATTTTCCTTGTGTATACAAATAATGAGGATTTAGTTTTAAAATTTTAATTATAGCATATAAATATGCCATGAAAGTTTTTATATTGTGCTTACTAAAGTTACATTAATTTATAATTCTAGCCTTTGATATGTCTTGTGGAAAGTTTACACACATTTCATGTCTGAAAATAGTATTAGTAATTCAAAAGTTAGGGTGAATTGAAATATTTTTATTTAATTTTCTCATCTTTATAAATTCTTAAAACCACTGCTTCTGATTAATTAAGAAATAAAAAATATATCTCTATGAAAAAATGAATTATGTTGCTATCAGACTCAAAAGCACTCTCCTTGGCTTAATTCTAAGTAACCTGTAGATTTACCTTCTAAATTCTGGATAACTTTTCCTTCTGGAGAAAACTCCTTTAATGTGAGCAAGAAATGATGTATCCACCCTTAGATCTTAGTAGGTTAAGATCACGATGTACTTTAAATTTAATCAAGGCGGATACACCTTTACTTGCTCACTTTTGAGGAGTCTTATCCTTTCCTTCCACATGAACTTTGGATTACTCCTTTCCGTTAAAGCTTACACATTTTATGATTTTTCCTATCGAAATACAATCTTAATTATTACTTGTGCTTTTAGAGAATCATGTATCATGACATGTGATTTTCGTTTTTCTGTTTCCCCTTCTCCCCAAAGGCTATATTTAATAACACTTCGACTCATTCTATCAGGACCCTGGTGCTTGGACTTACCTGCTTATTAGATCGTTTCATGTATGGCACGTGGATTCTAGTACCGCTTAATTTTCTAAAGTTCAATTTTCTTTCCTCGGGTGGAGACTATTATGGAACTCACAAGTGGCATTGGTACTTAACTCAGGGATTTCCAGTCATGATCTTCTCTCACTTACCATTTTGTATAGCTGGTATCATTTATTCCAAACAATGGAAGTTTACTGGCCTCCTTGCATGGGTTTTGAGTTTCTACAGTGTATTAGGGCATAAGGAATTCAGGTATTTCAAATCTGAAAAATTTACATATATGTTAACATGCACCTGGCCTATTGGTTTTACGTGATTTATGATAATAATTACTATTGAGGTACAGGTTTGTCTTGCCAGTTCTTCCCATAGCTCTGATGTTCTCTGGTTATTCTTTGGCTGTGATAGAAGATCCTGGTTCTCCACAGTATAAAGGAAAAGAATCTTCAAAAAAGCATACCAAATGTCCTCCCAAGATGAGAGTTGCCATCTTATTTTTGCTTGCTACCAATATTCCAATGGCTTTGTATATGAGTTTGGTTCATCAGGTCTCTCTCTCTCTCTCTCTCTCTACCCGGTGTTGAGGGGCTTCTCTACTATACACTCTTGCAATATAGGAGATATATTTTTGCTGGATGAGATTATTACTATTTCTTGTTACTCATTGTTCTTTCAATTTGATGTGCGTATTTATTATAACAAGACTTGAGCAAAAAATCTTCAGTAAAAATCTAGAAGGAAATATGTAATATTTCCTTTATTTTCTCAACAGAGAGGACCTGAGGATGTTATGAACCACCTTGCCAGAGAAGCTCTTCATGGGAAAGTGAAAAGCATCCTATTCCTAACGCCTTGCCATGCAACCCCCTACTATTCCATGTTGCATCATAACCTGCCAATGCAATTTCTTGACTGCACACCAAGGTTTGGAATTTAGAATTCTGAAATGGCTTCAATCTTAATCAGGACAAAAATAACTTCATAATTCTCTTCAATGTATCATGTTCAACAGTGAAGAGAAAGGAGTTCCAGATGAGTCTGACCGTTTCATGATGGACCCTGTTCCTTTTGTGTCTGAATATGCAAAAAATTGGTCTTCACCGAGCCACGTTGTTTTATTTGATTCAGAAGAACAAAAATTAAGGAACTTTCTAATTTCATTTGATTTTAAAGAGGTAATTATTAAGACTTCCCTAAGTTAATTACTTATGACTTTTCTGATGTTGCTCTAAATGCTGGCAATTTGTCCTCATTTTCCTAACATTTGGATTTCAAAAACAGGAAAGAAGATTTTTTAATGCTCACTTCAAGGTGGATCGTGATCTTCAAACTTCAATTGTTGTATACGTTCGAATAAGATAGAAAAATTTATCTGATATGCAGCAAGTTTTGGTATCGTGACAGTTCAATGTATCATTTCTGCACGTGTCTGCTTACTCCACTATTAATCTAATTTGATGTCTCTGAAACCAATGTATGTTATCTGTTAATGTATTGTTTACCTGGAAATTTTTCAGTAGACAGCTTGTAAATGCCTCGCTAATATATTTTCAGAGATGATCTACATTTTCTTTAAGAAGGATGACCTACATTTTTCTGGATCGTTTAGCAGCATCATTTGCCTCTGATAATTCTTTTGTCTAACAGAAAAGATATATGGCAAGGCCACTAGTAGATCTAGTATTTAATATTCGAACTGTACATACACATACTTAAACAAATTTCCCATTGAATTAATTAAATTACTAATAACAAAGGTGTTTTTGAATTTTCACAAGTCCAAGGAGGCTGGAATGTATGTTAAAATGCCTGGTCTTTTACCAAGTTATTATCAATATAAGTTAGAGTTGCATCGTGGTAGACTAATCCCTAATACATACTCGTAATGCTCAGCCAAATGTTAGTTCAACTCTGAATAACACACGAATACATTCAATGAGTGCGAGTTACGTTTATATTCAACAGCATTTTTTTGGCGCAGAAACATGATCATAACTATGTATGTTTTGTCAATTATCCTTTGGTAAAGATAATCATAGAGGGGAAGCCATAGCACGTCATCATTGATTTCTTAAATTGGATCCTTGTCAGCCAGATTGCAAAAAAAGCAAAACAATTTACATTTGAGCTTTGGAGGGAAAGGAAAGATAACTAATATGAATGTTCCGAAAATACCAAGGATAGAGAGATCACACTATAAAATTAGGTGCTTAAAAGACCTGTCCATAGAAGAAGTCTTCGGGGCCTATCTAGAAACCTGGCCTGCCACGCAGGTTCATCACTTTCATAGACGAATCCACTCTTCGTATATAATTTCTTTGCTGCTTCATTGTCAACAGCAACATGGACGTACAAATCTGTTATGCCTGGAAGATAGGGAAAAAAAATTGATTTAAGTTTAGTCACTTTTTGGTCTAGGCAAAGACCAATCTGAATTGCCATGTAGAAATATCAGGCTCTCGCAGTTCATAGACTCAAATGAGAAATATAGGGAAGAAACAAAGCGTAATTAGAAGATAATGTGAATACTGATACAGAGTGCTTTACAACCCAGGGAATCAGCATGGACCACGAGAAGGATATGAAAAATTCACTCAACACAGATTAAGGACAACATTTACCATGATTGTTTTCCATGATGCCTGGTTCTTGGCATTAAAAACAATCTAATCAACAAAGATAGATCACAGTGCGCGAGGGGGGAGGTGATAATATTGGGTTTGGCTTCGAATTCGAGTTTGATGCAGACCCACACAATTTGAGGTGATAATTTTACGTAAATCAAATCCCTCCACACTGAGTCATAACCAAAACTCAGATTGCAGCCCCATTCTGGACAAAAGTTTTCTGTCCCAAAGGAACAAAATTTGGAAACCTGTTGACAACAATGTTCACCAATTTGGAAGCCATCCATTTTGTACAAGACCAAGATCATACAGAATTTGGTTAATAGACATTACAACGTTACAAGTAGTTTAATAAAAATGGCCATGCCAGTTTAGATCCTTGTTGATCTTAACCTGCCAAAGAAAATATAAACATCAAGACATGCTGCATGTTTAACATCATGAGGTATCCCGAACTGTTTGTATACCAAAGAACCGTGTATGTATCCCTCAAGGGGTAAAATATGTCAATCTAGGGACGCTCTTTGTAGCAATGGTAGAGACCAAGGCTCTGTTAGAGTTTCTTAGGTGCTGTGTAAGAGGGGGAGGATGTATAAATGGCTACAATAGCTCTTTGCTTTAGCAGAGTAACAGTTCATATAAGTGAATGAACAGTGATGCCCCTTCAATGGAGAAGGGGGGTATTTATAGATATGGTTGGGCTCCCTAAGTATGGGAGAGAGAGCGAGGTTAATGGGGACAAAGCTGTGCCACTGAAAGTGAAACCTGGCCTTGTTGGAACAAGGCGTCCCACAGCCACTGTTAGTGTACAATGACTGCTTTGCAGCGGGAAAGTGAGGGGGAGATCCCGTGTGAGACGCTGCGTGTCTCACTTTGGAATATCTTTTGGGGTGTTACAGACATGGGCTATCAGTATTCGGCCTTGCTTAATGGGTCAGCCAAATGTGCTGGCCGAAAAAATGAGTAAACATACTTCACCTTTAATTGATGTAAAATTTCGTGTTATGATTTGTCAAAAATAATAAAATAAAATTAAAAACCTGCTTTCTCTTCTCGCCTATGAGTAAGATATATTTACTCTTACTAAAATGTAGAGTACAATTAAGAAAAGTCAACATTGTCATTTCTTGAATTTTTAGGCATTTAGCAGACAAGTCTCTTAGAGGGCTTGACACAAAGAAAGAACGGCAGAAGTTTACATTATCAATAAGACTAGTTTTGCAGGGCTACAAGTATACTAGTCCAACACTCCAATATAATAGCTATGAAGATTGAAATAATCTAAAGTCTTAAATACATGCTGACAGTAGCACAATCATAAACATCTTTAAGATTCCCAAATGAACTTCCTAATTATCACGAGCATCCAATGTTTTGCTTATTAGGACCAAAATTTGGGAAAGCATGTAAAGAAATTTTAAATTAAAATATTTTCCTCATCAAACAAAGACTATAATTTAGGACTGGGGATTCCCTGATATCTGATCAAGTTCAACCACAAAGTGCCAGAGCCTTAACAGCAAAAAATCAACACTTACAAGTACCAATGATTTAATTGCTAATGGCAGTGGCACTTGAAAAAAGAGTGCAAATAAATAAACCTTTTCTCAAGGCAGTCACAATGATAACAACAGCAGTGCTTACCAACAACAACAAAAACAACAACAGCAGTATCCATGTAGCAGTTAAGTGCTATTTTGTTTCTTACCCCAGTCATGAGCAACTAACTTTGACTTTTCAATAAGTGCATAGCCCAACCCATTTCGGAGCAACTCTTTAGCAACACATACATTACTTAGGTATGCCCTTGTGATATAAGCTCCAACGACCTGACAGTAAAATATTCAAACAATTTGAAGGAGGTACCATTGTACAAAATTACAAATTAGTAACCAAGAAAGAGTTATAAATTTTTGTGTCGAAACTTGACTTTTGAAGCAAGCTAACACAAACACACCAGCATATAGTCAAGATATATAATAAATACCTCTGGCTTCATCCCTGCAATTTCATCAGGAAGGCTCAAACACTGATTAAGATCAAGAGTGCCAACTACAATCCGATCTTCTCCATTGGTAGAAAACTACAAGTTTAAGTAAAGTGTCATTAATTTTATCAAGAAACAAACGACCTATAAACAAATCTAAGAAGACAAAAAATAGAGAAAGCTCATCAAACATGTCAATTTTACTTGTAATAATTGAGGTTAAGACTACAATTTGATAAACCTTTAGTTTATCATGTTTTTAGGACTAATATTACATGATTTACATAATAGTCAAAGGCATAAATACTTAGGTTTTATAGTGAAAAAACATGAAAGTTGAAATGTGATCTAACATAATTCGTTCTTGTGTGTTTTGAAGGAAAATTGACTTAAATTGATGCAAGGATGAAGTAAAGGACTTGGAGTAGGAAATGAAAGATCAGAGAAGTCCAGGAACGTATCCAAGAAGCAAAGTAAACAGTTGTTGTAAATATTAGGTTTTTTATTATTATTAGTATTTGTTGTATTAGGCCAAGCCCATTAGGTCAAGAATTAGGTTTTTTAGTCTCTATAAATAGAGACCTCTTTGTATCAGATTAATATACAATTAATAATATTTTTCTGATTACCCTTTTTCAAGTTGGTATCAAAGCTCTCGATCCCGAGGGCTCTGCTTCCGCACCTATGAAACCTATGTTCTTTTTTTTTCCCGTCTCTCGCAGCCATCAACCGCCACCGGAAAAATTTTCCGGGGACCTGTTGGACCGAGAAGATCACTGTTTCTCTTATTTTTCTTCCTTCCTCACTGTTCATCAACGCATTCATCACGGAGAAGACAGAACCGGATTTCTTGTGTTTTTTCGTCACTGTTCACAACGCAGAACCCTTTTCATGTTTTGACCGTTTTTCCGGCCATCTTTCTCCCCCTCATTCTTCTGGAAATAAATGGTTTGTTTCTTTTATTGATGATTGCACTCGTGTAACTTGGGTTTACTTAATGCGTGAAAAGTCTGAGGTACCATAACTGTTCTTTCAATTTTATAAAATGGTTGAAACCCAAATTGGTAAAAAAATCAAGAGACTAAGGACAGATAATGGTACTTGTTAGAATATTAGATATGATATGATTAGATTTGATTAGATATGATTGGATTCTGTCTTATCCGTAAATAGTCTGACTGTATTCTGACTGTATTAGGATTAGGTTTGGGCCTTACACTTAAGCCCATTAGGGTCTCTATATATTGTAACTCCTTGACACAGATCAATACACAACGTATTCTTTTACATTTAACTTGGTATCAGAGCTCTTTCGTTCTAGGAACCCTCGCTTCCGCTCAGAAACCTTGTTTTTTGCTTTAAAAACCTAAGCCCACTGCTTAGGAGTCCTCTTTCTTGCCGTGCGTCCTTCCGGCAAGCCTTCTAGGGCTGTAAACAGCCTCTGAGTGATTTTTCCAAACGCGTCAGCACCTCCGACGGCCACCGGAACCACCGCCCGCCATCAGAATCACTGTTCAGGCAACCAGAGACTTTTTCCGGCGACTTTTCCGACCAAACTTCACGCGATCAGGACCCTTTCTTCCCGGCGACCAGGTCTGTGGTGGTCCGGTCAGCAACGCATCTCCCACGCGCCGTCACGCGCCACCTGTCTTCACTGCGCGTGGGCTTCACGCGCCACCTTCTGCCGGCGCGTGAGCACTATTCCGGCGGCTTTTTCCGGCCGGTCTTGGACAGAGAAGCTCGCCTTCTCCTCCCCTTTCTGGATTTGTGATTGTTTCTCTGTGGGTCTGACCTTAGACGCGTGGTTCTTCTTGATTGGATATCGTTTGCCTTCGTTTACGGCTTTTATATTTTATCTTTAAATGGCAGCAGCATCTCCTGATCTCTCGGAGGTTAACTCTCCTTCTATTGTTGCAAATATAGCTCAGTCAGACAAAGCATCATTTGGTTCAGGTTCGGACTGTGCTGCACTCCAAACCCCTCTCAGGAAGGCTTCTCCTCAGTCTCAGCCTTATACTGGTAATCCCGTTGCTTGTGTTTCTCATTCTACATCACTTGGCACTTGGATATTTGACTCCGGTGCTACCGATCATCTCTGTGGTAATAAGGAACTCTTTACATCTCTTACTTATTCTGATCATTTACCGTCTTTTACCCTTGAGGATGGAACCAAAGCCCCAGTTTGTGGGATTGGACAAGCTCGTCCGACCACTACCTTGGCCCTGACATCTGTCTATTATATTCCTGGCATCCCTTATAACTTAATTTCTTTTAGTAAGTTGATCCACTCCCTCACTTGCACCATTACTTTCTCTAACCATTCTGTTTCTGTGCAGGATCCGGGTACGGGGAAAATGATTGGAGTGGGTCGTGAGTCACGGGGGCTTTATTATCTGGATGTGCCTCGTCCTTCAGTAGCATGCTCTCTCACAGAATCTCCACAACTTATCCACAGTCGCCTTGGTCATCCAAGTCTTTCAAAGTTGCAGAAAATGGTTCCTCTTTTGTCCGGTCTTCAGTCTTTAGATTGTGTGTCATGTCAACAAGGGAAGCATACACGCTCCTCTTTTGCCAGTCGAGTCAATAAACGAGCTGATGCCCCTTTCTCTCTTGTTCATTCAGATATCTGGGGTCCAAGTCGTACCTTGTCTGTCTTAGGTTTTCGGTATTTCGTTACCTTTATTGATGATTTTTCCCGTTGCACTTGGACCTATTTAATGAAAAATCGTTCTGAGTTATTTTCCATTTATAAAAAGTTTTCTACTGAGATCCATACTCAATTTGGTGTTTCTATTCGTATTCTACGTAGTGATAATGCTAAGGAATATGTTTCTATTGATTTTTCTAATTTCTTGGCCACACAAGGTACTTTACATCAAACTACTTGTCCTCGCACTCCACAACAAAATGGGGTGGCTGAACGTAAAAACAGACATCTCATTGAAACTGCCCGTACCCTTCTTATTCATATGCAGGTTCCTCTTCACTTCTGGGCAGATGCTGTACTCATCTCTTGTTTTCTCATCAATCGCATGCCTTCATCTGTGCTCCACAATGACATTCCTCATAATCTATTGCTTCCAGATGTTCCTCTTTATCCTCTAACTCCACATGTCTTTGGTTGTACTTGTTTTGTTCATGATCTCACTCCTGGTAAGGATAAGTTAACATCCAAAGCCTTTCAGTGTATCTTTCTTGGTTATTCTCGTCTTCAAAAGGGTTATCGTTGTTATTCTCCCGACCTTAAGCGTTAGTTAGTTTCCGCTGATGTCACTTTTCTTGATCAACAACCCTTTAATTCTATCCCATCTCAGATGTCACAGGTTGATCATGTACTTCCTGTCCTTTTTCTTGACTTGTCTTTGCCAGCTGCAGGTGCTTCTATTCCAGATGAGCAACCTATTGCTTCTATACCTGAGGACCGTCCACTTCTCACCTATCAGTGTCGCAAAACTGTGCCTCCTGTCGACTCGACTCTTGCTGACTCATCGCCCACTGCTGTTGCTTCTTCCCCTCCGGATCCTTCATCAGAGACTCTTCCCATTGCTCAAAGAAAAGGTACACGTACTACTCGTAACCCTTATCCTCTTTATACCTTTTTGAGTTATGACCGTCTTTCTTCACCTCATTTCACCTTTGTTTCTAGTCTTTCTTCTATTTCTATTCCTAAGACAACAGGTGAAGCACTTTCCCATCCAGGGTGGCGCCAAGCAATGCTTGATGAGATGACTGCACTTCATTCCAATAGCACTTGGGACCTTGTTTCTGCTCCTCCAGAGAAGTCTATAGTTGGTTGTCGCTGGGTTTTTACTGTGAAAGTTGGACCTGATGGCCATATTGATCGTCTCAAGGCACGTTTAGTTGCCAAGGGTTTTACTCAAATCTTTGGCCTTGATTATAGCGATACATTTTCTCCGGTCGCTAAGATGGCGTCAGTCCGCCTCTTTCTTGCCCTTGCTGTTGTTCGTCACTGGCCACTCCTTCAACTTGACATCAAAAATGTCTTTCTTCATGGTGATTTACAAGAAGAAGTTTACATGGAGCAACCACCTGGTTTTGTTGCTCAGGGGGAGTCTGGAAAGGTGTGTCGTCTTCGGAAATCCTTATATGGTCTCAAGCAGTCTCCTCGAGCATGGTTCAGTCGTTTCAGTTCTGCTGTTCAGGCGTTTGGCTTAATCCGCAGTAAAGTTGACCATTCTGTGTTTTATAGGATTACATCTCCTGATAAGTGTATCTATTTGTTAGTCTATGTTGATGACATCATTCTCACCGGAAGTGATCAAGACGGAATTCGTCAGTTAAAACAACATTTGTTTAGTACATTTCAAACAAAGGACCTTGGGAAGCTGCGTTACTTCTTGGGAATTGAGGTGGCGCAATCAAGACAGGGCATTTCTATCTGTCAAAGGAAATATGCCTTGGATATCTTAGAAGAAACTGGTATGTTGGGGAGTAAACCAGTTGATACACCTATGGATCCTAATGTCAAGTTATTACCCGGACAGGGGGAGCCGTTATCTGATCCTGGACGTTATCGGAGGCTAATTGGGAAGCTCAATTATCTTACTATGACTAGGCCAGATATTTCTTTCGCTGTCAGTACGGCCAGTCAGTTCCTTGATTCCCCTTGTGATTCACATTGGGATGCTGCTGTGAGGATCCTCCGATACATCAAAGGAGCACCAGGAAAAGGTTTGTTGTATTCGGATCAGGGAAATACAGAAATTTGTGGTTACTCAGATGCCGATTGGGAAGGATCACCCTCGGACAGACGCTCTACTTCTGGTTATTGTGTCTTCTTCGGAGGAAACTTAATCTCATGGAAAAGCAAGAAACAACCTGTTGTTTCCCGATCTAGTGCAGAAGCTGAGTATCGTGCAATGGCAAATACTACCTGTGAGTTGATCTGGTTAAAGCAGTTGATTCAGGAGCTTCATCTTTGTGAACAGAAACAACCCATGACACTCATCTGTGATAATCAAGCTGCGCTACATATATCCTCTAATCCTGTTTTTCATGAGAGGACCAAACATATAGAGATTGATTGTCACTTCATTCGGGAAAAGATTCAGTCAGGAGAAATCAAGACAGCTTTT